TGAGTGTGGAATCAGCGAGAGCTGGGGGTACTACTGAGTGGGGCATTAGCAGGTCCAGGGGTTCTACTGAGAAGGGGATCTAATGAATGCAGGTACTAATAAGCTGGGGATCTGCTGAGTGGAGGTACTACTGTGCTGGGGTTCTACTGGGCCCCTTTAAAACAAATCGAAGATCAACACACACACAGGCTTTTTTTTGAAGCTTTAATGAAGCTTGGAAAATGCCATCAATGAAGCATCAAAAAAATACATCAAAAAAGCACATTGAAGCAGTAAATGCTTTAAAGTGTGTTAAAGTCAAAGCAAGTGTAAATGAGTCCTTAATGTAGGTTTCCCTCCTGTAAATACTGTGTGCCCCTTTCTGCTGTCAGAAGTCATCTGTCCTAAGAGAAATGACCCCTTTTGTGTGTCCCCAAAACTTGCTCCTCCAGACCCATAAGTACATCATCACCTGCCCAGTTGCCGGTCTCCATCCATCTTTTAGTACAATCTGTGTCAGCGTAATTCTAGTAAGCCACAGTAATGCTATCATGTGTCACATGCCCAGCCTGCTCTCCATCTCCTTTAAATCGGAGTCTCCATCATTTCTTGTTCCGACCCCTTCATCCCTAATCTGAGGTCACTTCATATCAATCATCTGCTGCTCCATATTGAACAGAAGCACCTGCAGCTCCAATCCTGCTGTGATCGTCCCATTATATTTTATATGGCTTGTCACCTGCACCTCAAGTCTCATACTTTTGGGCTGATTGTGGTCTACAGTAGACTCTCCATCCTGTGTCCAAATGCTGGTCTAGATGCCTTTACTCCTGTTACCTCCTCCATGTACCCAAGAGTGGAGTCACCTACATCACGTCTATACTTAGTGCTGTCTTTCTTCAACAATCTTCTTATCTTGGCTCCTTGTACTTGTAATGTAGTCAGCTGATGTAAGATCCTACACTGCTGTCACTTGTCACCTGTCTTCTCTACCTCTGTCTATCCCCTTACGTCTGTGTTTCTAATGCTGCCATCACCTCTCCCTCCATCCCTGTACAGCTGTCACTTAATTACCTTTCTACTGCTATCTATCCTCCTCTTACCTGTGTCTCTAGTTCTGCCGTCACCTTCCACTCCCTCCAGGTTGTTACCCGTCTGCTCTACTACTGACTATATGCCTCACCTTCCATCACTTCAACCCAATATACTGCCACTTGTCACATGTCTGTCTGCTCTGATTCTGATATCCTGTTACTTCTGTGTCTCTAGTACTGCTGTCTCCTATCCCTTCAGTCCTGTACAGGTGTCCCCTGTCTCCTCCATTGTTGTCTATTCTCTTAGTTGTGTGTGTGTGTGGCATGCTGCTGTCACCTGTGTGCCCTCACCTACCCCACAGCCCTATATAGTTGTCACCTGTCTTGTCCATTGGTGTCTACCCTCTTAGTTCAGTGTGTTCCATATGTCCGTCCAACCTACTACTGTCACCTATCCCCAGCTGTGTACAGCTGTCACTCGTCACCAGTCCACTCCACTACGTTCTATCCTCTTACTTCTGTGTCTCCAAAGCTGCTGTCATTTATTCTCTTCCCCAGCCCTGCACAAGTGTTACCCGTCCAGTCCCACTACTGTCTATCCTGTCATGTCTGTGGCATGCTGCTGTCACCTGTCTTCCCCAATACTGGCAATCCTCTTACTTCTGAGTCTCTAAAGCTGCTGTCATCTCTCTCCCCAGGTCTGTAGAGCTGTCATTTGTCAGCTGTTCACGGTTGTCTATGCTCAGCTCTGTGTCCCTAATGCCACTGTCCCCTCTCCCCAACTGAGCATAGTTCTCCGGTCTGCTACTGCCACTTATCCCTCCGCCCTTCCCAGTCCTGTACAGTATCACTTGTCACCTGTCTGATCCCAGGCTGTCCATCCTCCTACCTCTCAGATTCTAATTCTGACCTTCCTATCCACTGTTATTTCTGCTCAGTACTGGGTCCCTATACTGCGGTCACCTGTCCCCTCCACCCTTGTACAGCTCTCATCTGTCCTGTCCACTTCGTGCCCCTATACTGTGGTCACCTGTCCCCTCCACCCCTGTACAGCTCTCATCTGTCCTGTCCACTGCCGTCTATCCACTCTCCTCGGTGTCCCTATACTGCTGTCACCTGTCCCCTCCAACTCAAACATCTGCAACCTGTCCTGTCTGCTACAGTCTCCCCTTTAGTATGTCTGACTTCACAGGCCTATACTCTTCCCTATACACTGCGCTCCCCTCTAATATACACAGCTTCCCCACTTCTCTCCATACAATGTGCTTCACTTTGCCCTCCATACACAGTGCTCCACCTTCTCTGACATGTACAGCCCGCTGTCCCCCATACACAGTGCTCCACTCTCTCATATACACAGCCTGCCCACTCCCCTCCATACAATGTGCTTCCCTCTCTACAGAATGCTCTCCTCTCCATACATTGTGTTCCCTTCTCTCTAATATGCACAGTGCTCCCCACTCTACACAATGCATTCCCCTCCATACACAGCTCTCTCCATTCCCCTGCACACACAGCGCTCTCCTCTCCCCTCCATACTCAGTGCTTCCCTCTCCCCTCCACACACAGCGCTCTCCTCTCCCCTCCACACACAGCGCTCTCCTCTCCCCTCCACACACAGCGCTCTCCTCTCCCCTCCATACTGCTCCCCTCCACAGCGCTCTCCCCTCCATAAACAGTGCTCCCCTCCCCCTCTCCCTCCATACACAGTGCTCCCCTTTATACTCAGTCCTCCCCTCCATACTCAGCGCTCTCTCTCTCCCCTCCCCTCCATACATAGCGCTCTCCTCTCCCCTTCATACTCAGTGCTCCCCTCCATACACAGCGCTCTGCTCTCCCCTCCTCCACACACAGCACTCCCGTCCATACACAGCGCTCCCCACTCCCGTCCATACACAGCTCTCCCCTCCGCTCCCGTCCACACACAGCGCTCCCCTCCCCTCCCCTCCTCCGCTCATACCTCCTCACTCCCCTCCATACAGACTGCTCCCCTCTCCCCTCCATACTCAGTGCTCCCCTCTCCCTCCATACACAGTGCTCCCCTCTCACCCTCCATACACAGTGCTCCCCCCCTCTCCCCTCCATACACAGTGCTCCCCTCTCCCCTCCATACACAGTGCTCTCCCCTCCATACACAGTGCTCTCCTCTCTCCCCTCATACATACACAGTGCTCTCCTCTCCCCTCCATACACAGTGCAGTGCTCTCCTCTCCCCTCCATACACAGTGCTCTCCTCTCCCCTCCATACACCCTCCATACACAGTGCTCTCCTCTCCCCTCCATACACAGTGCTCTCCTCTCCCCTCCATACACAGTGCTCTCCTCTCCCCTCCTACACAGTCCTCCTCTCCCCTCCATACACAGTGCTCTCCTCTCCCCTCCATACACAGTGCTCTCCTCTCCCCTCCATACACAGTGCTCTCCCCTCCCCTCCATACACAGTGCTCTCCCTCTCCCCTCCATACCCAGTGCTCCCCTCTCCCCTCCATACCCAGTGCTCCCCTCTCCCCTCCATACCCAGTGCTCCCCTCTCCCCTCCATACTCAGTGCTCCCCTCTCCCCTCCATACTCAGTGCTCCCCTCTCCCCTCCATACTCAGTGCTCCCCTCTCCCCTCCATACTCAGTGCTCCCCTCTCCCCTCCATACTCAGTGCTCCCCTCTCCCCTCCATACTCAGTGCTCCCCTCATACTCAGTGCCCCTCCCCTCCATACCCAGTGCTCCCCCTCTCCCCTCCATACTCAGTGCTCCCCTCCATACACAGTGCTGTCTTCCATACACTCCCCCCAGTGCTGCCCCCTGCAGTCACACATCCGGGGTACAGATGATCCTGACAGCCCTGATTTCCTCGCCCAGCCCCCTCACCTTTGGGATCATGGTTGTCTCCTGCCGGTGTAATGTCCTATCAGCGCAGCATTATAATCCTAGGGAGGAGGGCTATCCTCGGCACGGATGTCAGCCCGGACCCTGCCCGGCCCCGTATCCCCGCGGCCTCCGGTAGCTCCACAGTCTGACCCACCCCTACCCTCCGACCGCCTCCGGAAGAGCCGCCATGTTGTTTCGGGGTGACAACAAGCCCTGGGCCATAGGAAGGACTGGAGATTACTAAGCAGGCGTGGCTAACGCGGCTCCACCAACCAGCGAGCTATCTGGGCATACCCTGTCAAGCATGGCGCCCAGTGACTTCACCATACCCCGCCCACCAGTGATAAACTGGGCGGAGAGTCCCTGCACTGTCCATAAATAAAACACACAAGTGACGGTTGACTCCGCCCCCAGTGGGGGGCTCTGGCTGGTGACATCAATTGGAGGGGCGGGCCCTGCTGAGGGTAGCTTGGCCGTCTCCATAGAGCTGAGTAGGAGTGGAGCGGGCAGTGATGGACGTCTATGCTCTCCATGGAGACATACGGAAGAGCAGCACATGTCACGTGGAAAGCGGCTGATGTGATAACTGGTCATAGTAAAGCAGAACGACTTTTTAGGAGCTTCATGTCCGAGTGTCGTGCGAGGCAGAGCCCTGGTGGAGTCCGCAGAAGCTGCGTATTGGTTTCTCCTTTAACCACTTTCCTACAGGCCATTATACTCCCTTCCTGCCCAGGCCAATTTCCAGCTTTCAGCGCTGTTGCACTTTGCCAATTGCGTGGTCATGCAACATTGTACCCATATGAAATTTTTATCATTTTTTTTTTGTGACGGATAGAGCTTCCTTTTGGTGGTATTTAATCACCTCTGGGATTTTTATTTTTTTATAAACCAAAAACCACTGAAAATTTAGAAAAAAAAAATGTTTTTCTTAGTTTTTGTTATAAGATTTTGTAAATAAGTGATTTTTCTCCTTCACTGATGTGCGCTAATGAGGCTGCACTGATGGACACTGGTAGGCGGCACGGATGGGCATTGACAGGCATCACTGATGGGCACTGAATGGCAGCACTGATACATGGCACTGATAGACAGCACTGTTAGGCAGCACTGACTGGCACTGATAGGTGGCACTGACTGGCACTGATGGGTGACACTGAAAGGCAGCTCAGATGGGCACTGATATGTGGCATTGATGTGCACTGGTAGGCACTGATATTTGGCACTGATGGGCACTGGCACGAGGCACTGATGAGCACGGACATAAAGCACTGATGGACACTGACAGGTGGCACTGCTGGGGCTACACTGATCATCAGGGCACACTGATCATCAGTGCCCTGATGATCAGTATACATGTCCCTTCCACAGATGCCGATTACCGGCTCTCCTCTCGAGCTGTCAGCGTAGAGTCTGCAAACTGGGATATAGTATATGAACATATACTCATACTGTATGTCCTACTGACGGCCAGCTCATTTCCTGAGACCCTAAAATGCCAGGACAGTACAAATACCCCCCAAATGACCCCATGTTAGAAATTTGACAGTCCAAGGTATTAGTAAGAGGCATGGGGAATTTTTTGAAGTTGTAAATTTTTGTCACACTTTTTTTGGAAAATTTTGAAAATATATATATATTTTATTTCACAACATTGTCATTTTTAACAAGTTATGTCTCACGCACAGCATGGGCATACTTATAATTATGCCCACAAATACATTCTGCTACTCCTGAATAGAGGGTGCCACATGTGTGAGACTTTTTCACAGTGTATGGGCATAGAGAGGTCCAAAATCCAAGGAGCACCTTTGGGCTTTCAAGGAGCATAAATTATGCATCTAATTTCCTATCGTAATTTTGGAGGCCTCGTAGCACCAGGACTAGTGGGTGGAACACCCCCTTGTTTGGTTCGCAGTCAAACATTCGAACCTACCAAAAGTTCAACTGCGAACTTCGAATATAATGCAAGTCTATGGGACTCGAACATGTAAATTCAAAAGTGCCCATTTTGAAGGCTTATATTCAAGTTATTGGCCATAAAAGGGTATGGGTACTACCCTGAGGGACATGAATCAGTGAAAAAGAAAAATTCAAAATACAATTTTTAAAGGGGCACTCATTTTTCATTGCTTAACCTCTTTACAACCACGCTAGAGCTGAATGGTGGCTACAGCGCAGTTGTCCAGTTCTGGGAGGGTGTCATATGATGTCCTCGGAGAATGCACCCCCCCCCCCAATGTGCCCCCAGCGGCATGCCCCCAGCGGTGTCTCTGATCTCTATGTCCTACGATCACAGCTGATCAAATGACAAGGTATAAGGCCAATCACAGCGGCATTTTACTACGTGATCAACTGTGTCCAATGACACAGCTGATCACAAAGTAAATACAGTTGCCGGTTATCGGCAGCACTTTCCTCACACACAGTGCCATAGCAAGGAAAAATACTGCGGGCAAGTGTCACAGAAGACATCTGCACCGATAATCGGCACTGATTATCAGTGCAGCCCCAAAAGTGCCCAGCAGTAGAGCCCATCAGTGGTGGCCATCAGTGCTGCATATCAATGCCTCCTCATCAGTGCAGCCTATCATTGCCCATCAGTGCTGCCTATCAGTGCCCATCAGTGCAGCCTCATCAACACACATTAGTGAAGGAGAAAATTTAACTGTTTGCTAAATTTTATAATAGAAACAAGAAAAACTTTTTTTTCAAAATTTTTTGCTATTTTTGTTTATAGTGCAAAAAATAAGAAACCCAGTGGCGATTAAATACCACCAAAAGAAAGCTCTATTTGTTTGAAAAAAATGCTAACAATTTCATATGGGTACAGTGTCGCAAGACCGTGCAATTGTCATTCAAAGTGCAACAGCGCTGAAAGAATAGAATTAAAGAATAGAATATAAAAAAATAGAATAGATTAGAATAAAATAGAATATAGCCATCTTCCAAAGTTCAAATTTTGAAAAGAATAGAATAAAACAGACTAGAATAGAAAAGAAAAATAGAATAGAGTAGAATAGAAAGACTATATCTGTCTCCCAAAATTTGAATTTCAAATATAATAGAACCAGCTGTTCTTTACAATGAATTTGGATCGATTCAATATTTTTGGTTCAACTGCAATTCAAATACTTCTAATCCATTGGAAAACTTCAAATCCTGTCGAAAACAAACGAAACAAATTTTGTTACGAATGCAATGAAACAAAATTAGTAACTTAACAAATCAATATGAAACAAATATATAAAGAAAACAAAACCTCAGCGCCCAGGACTCTCCTATTTAACACACAAATCCCCGTGAGATGCTGCTGTGCACAGGTACAAAGACCAAAAAAAACTTTTAACAATGAAAACCAGCGCAAACCCACATATTCAATTGCATTACTCAACTTGAAAAATAATTTTTTTGCTAATAAAGATATATATAATAAATTATATATAAATAAATTAATATAAAAATAAAAACATTAAATTAAAATAAAATTAAATTCATAAGTCCAGTGACAAAAAAAATCAAGTGATAAAAAATAGAAAAAGTCCCAAAAAAAATATATATATAACAGTCCCGTGACAAAATAAATCAATTTATAATTATCATTGGATTCTTCCGTGTTACTGATCCCTTCACCATCCACCAGTGCAGAAATCAACATTAACCGCACTCACCAGATATTAGTAAGTCACACGCCTTTCAGGAATATTAAGGGCTCCTGGACCCCCTTTACTTTTGTGAGACCTCCAAATGCTGTTTCCTCTTATATTTGGGTACCTCTTCTACTTACTCCTCTCACCGAATCCCCAAAGAAAATCAGGAAAAAGAAAAGACCATAGCGTGATACCGTAGTAATCTCTCCTCCAAATAATCTCTCCAGACCACTCACATTCTTTTGCGGGATATAGCCCGCCTTTTATTCAAAACAACAATGATTTTCTTCCAAAATGATCCACTTTTCAGGTACACCGACTTCTTATAAGAGACCCCACAGTCTAGTGTGCAGCAGGATGGCAGACCTTAGCTACAGACTCATCTACTAGGCTAAAATGGCCCCTTGGAACGCACCGCTCGGCGTGCGCTCCACTCACCGGAAATGACGTCAGACGACGGACCAGGCAACCGGAAGTGCGTCAACGCGTTTCACCCCCCAAAGTTGCATGATTTGGACAGGGATTGGATGTGGGCCTGAAAGAATAGTACCCCTAGTACCCTGACATGCAGGGATGGGTTGATAGTGGTGCTATTGATCCTGACCGAGAAATCAGGGGAAGAGGCACGTGGGGGAGGAAATATCATGAGCTCAGTTTTGGATATAGTGAGTTTTAGGAAGTGGTGTGACATCCAGTCTGATATGTCTGTTAGTAAATCGGTGATACGTGAGGAAACTAATGGGGTGAGCTGAGGAGCAGAGAGATAGATTTGTGTGTCATCAGCATAGAAATGATATTGGAAACCATGGGAAGCTTCAGCTGACCCAAGGAAGAAGTGTAGATCGATAATAGGAGAGGTCCAAGGACAGAACCTTGGGGGACCCCGACAGTAAGAGGAGTAGGAGAGGAGGAAGTAGAGTTGAAAGTGACACTGAAGGTGCGGTGAGAGATAGGTAAGATTCAAACCAACGGAGAGTACAGTTACGGAGACCAAGTAAATAGAGTTTTTTGAGGGGTGGTCAACTTTGTCAAAGGCAGTGGAGAGGTCCAAGTGTAAATGTACGGAATAGTGACCATTGGTTTTAGCGGTTAGTAAGTCGTTTGTAAGTTTTAGGGGAGCAGTTTCTGTGGAGTGTTGTGGGCGAAATCCAGACTGAAGGGGATCAAGAAGGTTATTCTCAATAAGGTGGCAGCTCAGTCGGTTCAAGGAGTTTGGAGGCAAAAGGGAGTAAGGAGATGGGTCTTAGGTTGCTAAGATTGGTGGGGTCCAGTGAGGCCTTTTTAAGTATGTGGGGGGTGACTAGCACATGTTTTGCTGTGCACAGCCATCCACAGCAGTTTGCCCAAGCCAACAGAGAGGAGGAGTGTTAGTAAACAAAGCGGTCCTCCTCCCCCGTCAGAGATGCTTTGTAATCACCAAGCGCCGGTGGTGAATCAGTGGCTGGGACCAAATGATTGACAGCCATGGCTGCGAATGGCGGCATGGGTAGGGAAACCCTGCCCAGAAATACTAAATGACATATATGTGATTTTGTGCACCCCTGCCTCCCTGTAGCAGTATTTCTGCTATAGGGCGGTCAGGATGTGGTTAAACTATGACCAGAGCAATGCAATGTTACCATAATAACATTATACTACTCTGGGGAAGTGAATAAGATTTTTTTTACACATTGTACCGTATTTTTCGCTCCATAAGATGCACTTTTTTCCCCCCAAAAAAGGGGGGAAAATGTCAGTGCGTCTTATGGAGCAAATATGGAGCAGCCAGTCCGGTATTCCCACCACTGCCGCGTATCAGAATACCAGGGCCGGCCGGCCGCGCCGCTCGTCTCTTCTCTGCAGTAGAATCTTACCTGTTCCTCGGTGCAGCGCTGTACAGTCTTCCTGTACTTTTTTAGTGTGGGCTCTCGGCTGTGACAGCTGGGTGCCCAGTGCGCCTGCACGAGAAGCGCTGCACTTTGTGAATGGTACGGCGTCTTCTGGGACACATGACAGGTCCCAGAAGACGCCGGACCAATCACAAATCGCAGCGCTTCTCGCACATGCGCAGTGGGTACCCGGCTATCAGCTGTACTGTCCACCCCTGTACTGTCCACAATCTCTGGTCATCCCTGTACTGTTTGCAGTCTCTTGGTCATCCCCTGTACTGTCCGCAGTCTCTGGTCATCTCCTGTACTGTCCGCAATCTCTGTTCATCCCCTGTACTGTCCGCAGTCTCTGGTCATCTCCTGTACTGTCCGCAATCTCTGGTCATCCCCTGTACTGTCCGCAGTCTCTTGGTCATCCCCTGTACTGTCCGCAGTCTCTTGGTCATCCCCTATACTGTCCGCAGTCTCTTGGTCATCCCCTATACTGTCCGCAGTCTCTGGTCATCTCCTGTACTGTGTCCGCAGTCTCTGGTCATCTCCTATACTGTGTCCGCAGTCTCTGGTCATCTCCTGTACTGTGTCCGCAGTCTCTGGTCATCTCCTGTACTGTGTCCGCAGTCTCTGGTCATCTCCTGTACTGTGTCCGCAGTCTCTGGACATCTCCTGTACTGTGTCCGCAGTCTCTGGTCATCTCCTGTACTGTGTCCGCAGTCTCTGTCATCTCCTGTACTATGACCGCAGTCTCTGATCATCTCCTGTACTATGTCTGCAGTCTCTGGTCATCTCCTGTACTATGACCACAGTCTCTGGTCATCTCCTGTACAGTGTCCGCAGTCTCTGTGTCCGCAGTCTCTCCTGTACTGTGTCCGCAGTCTCTGGTCATCTCCTATACTGTGTCCGCAGTCTCTGGTCATCTCCTGTACTGTGTCCGCAGTCTCTGGTCATCTCCTGTACTGTGTCTCTGGTCATCTCCTGTACTCTGACCACAGTCTCTCATCTCCTGTACTGTGTCCACAGTCTCTGGTCATCTCCTGTACTATGACTGCAGTCTCTGCTCATCTCCTGTACTGTGTCCACAGTCTCTGGTCATCTCCTGTACTGCAGTCTCTGCTCATGTGTGCAGTCTCAGTCTGGTCATCTCCTGTACTATGACCACAGTCTCTTTTCATCTCCTGTACAATGTTCACAGTCTCTGGTCATCTCCTGTACTGTGTCCGCAGTCTCTGGTCATCTCCTGTAGTACATCTGCAGTCTCTGGTCATCTCCTGTAGTATGTCTGCAGTCTCTGGTCATTTCCTGTACTGTGTCTGCAGTCCATTGGTTCAGAATATTTTATTTCTTGTTTTCCGCCTCTAAAACGTAGGTGCGTCTTATGGTCAGATGCATCTTCTGGAGCGAAAAATACGGTAATTGCTTATAGCAGTGAATTGCATTGCTATACGCAAGCATTTTACTGAATGAAATCATATCCTGATGAAGTCACGTGTTTGAGTGACGTAACGCGTAGATACGCCAGTGGGAGGAGTTTTTGACGATCGACGGCTTGACGTCACATCCGGCGTCGGCGCCATCTTGGTGCTCCGTTTTCCAATACAGTACACCCTTGGAGTGGTGTAAAGGCCTGCTTGTCCTAAGAGTTTTGTAAGTAGATTTTTAGTATTGTTTTTACCAAATAAAAGGTTTTACACTATACCAGTCTCTCTTGCCTCACTGGTGACCGTATGGGAGAGTCTACCGGAGAGACACCACAGGTATCATCTGCTGCTGAGGAGTACCAGCTGCTGCTGAGGCACACCTATCTGTAACTAAGGCTAGTCAAGTGGGGAGAGATATACCCTCGCCGCCAGAGAGATCTACCTGTCATCTGGAGGAATATTTCATTCATTACTCAATGCTCTTTGGTCCCTGGGGGCCTGAGCAGGAAGGTGAGGGGGCACCCCAGCCTTAGAGGATTGGCACATTGCAGTTCACATTGCAGTTCACACCTGCATGAAGTTTGTGCGATCTACCAAAGACACTATGCACTTTTTGTCACTTTAATGCATGTTATTCTTAGACATATACCCCATCTCATATAGATGTCAGATATTTATCTATCTCACCCCATATAGATGCTATATATATTTATTTACTGTATTATCTCGTCATTATAGCGCCGTATTAATTGATATATACTTTAGTTGATGTTTTTGGTGCTGTGGCACCTCTAATACAGGCTGCTTCCATCATTCACTTCCCAATAGAGGCGCAGGAGATTTTTCTTTAATTAGATTCATTCAGTATTGTTGTGATTAGCTATGATTGGCCATTGGCCACACCATTAGATCACTGTGATCAATCACAGCGTGCAACACAATTGTACACAATGAATGGCATGAAAAAAAGCCATTCATTATGTACAATTGTCATGTTATCTGCTGTGATTGGTCACAGCGATCACATGATACCAGCAGCAGCAACTGGGACAGTGATCTATCATTGGCTATGCCCGATGGACTCAGCGGGTTAGAGATCGTGCCAACAATGTGTTCTGGGAGGACATCATATGATCATGTGACGTCCACCCGGAACAGCGAAAGTCCCGCCCAGCTGTCATATATTGCAATAAGCCATGGGGGGGGGGGGGGGGGGGGGGGGACTGGTTAATATATTGTCCCCTGAGTAAACATAGAAATAGATTAACAATGGTAATAACCCAATTTTGCATACAGGGTGATTGGTAATAAGGACTAGGCATAAGATGACACTTGGGGGTTTATTTACTAAACCTGGTTGACTCAGAATCTTGTCCACTTCTGCATAAAAACCAATCAGCTTCCAGGTTTTATTGCTGAAGCTTAACTGAACATGCTGAGGTTAGAAGCTGATTGGCTACCATGCACAGGTGCCCAAGATTCTGAGTCAACCAGGTTTAGTAAATAAACCCCTTGGTGTCCAGATCAGTATAAACAGTAGCAAAATCACCTAAAGTGCAACAATTGGCAGTAAAGAACTATAATGCCAAAGTGCATTGATGTATATATCACAGTTTTCAGAGTCTATAAACTATGGGAAGAGAAAAAGTCCAGTTGGTTTTATGGGAGGGGCAGTCCTTTATGTAGTTTTCTGACGGCTATTGTTGGGCCCCTTTAAGAAGCCTGGATGCAGTTAATGACAGTTTTAGTAAACCAGTATGCAGTATAAGTTCGGTAAAGATGCAGTAAAGTTGCGGTATAGGTGTGGTACAGGTGCAGTATACTTAAGGGGGGATTTACTAAAACTGGTGCACACAGACTATGGTGCAGCTGTGCATAGTAACCAATCAGCTTCTAACTTCAGCTTGTTCAATTAAGCTATGATAATAAAACCTAAAACTTGACTGGATACTATGCACAGCTGCACCAGATTCTCTGTGCACCAGGTCTAGTAAATATTTCCTTTAATGTCTTGACTTCAGTAGCTCAGTCCTTACTAGCACTTTGCATACTAGCATATTATGGCACACAAATATCCAACATGCCTGTTTAAAAAAAAAATATATAGCAGAGTTAATTCTACGTTAAGAACAAGTTTTCCTTGTTTGCCTTATGTGTTCTATTGAGGACATTTCACTTCCTGTCCCATAACCAAAATAGGAAATGAGAGGATGTCCCCATTGCAAGATTACCCCTCCATTTCTGTTCTGGTGATAACCCAAAATGTGAGATTTTCTTTCACTTTCACAGTAAACAGGACAAAAAGAGGGGTGAGCATGCATTTGTGATGTGGTTTTGATATTTCTGTAATGCTTTTTTGAAGCTTTAATGAAACTTTGTAATTTCCCTGTGTGTGTTTATTTTCTATTTGTTTTAAAGGAGTTCAGTAAAACCCTAGCTCAGTAGTACTCCCAGATCAGTAATACCCCTGCTCAGCAGATTCCCAGATTATTAGTACCCCTGCTCAGAAAATACCCCGATCAGTAGTATCCACAGCTCTACTGATCCCCCACTCAATATAGTAGCCCCAGCTCAGTGATACCTCTGCTCAGCAGATCCCCAACTCATTAGTACCCTTGTTCAGCAGATCTCCTGCTCAGTAGTAGCCCCAGTACTGCTGATACCCTGCTCACTAGAAACCCCCAGCTCTGCTGACCTCCTACTCAGTAGTAACCCCCACCTCTGCTGATCCTCTGGTTTGCTGATCCTCTTCTCTCTCTGGTCACCACTGTCCTGTTATATTGCTCCCATGCTGCTCACTACATGTGACATCTGCTAGTTTCTCCCGCTCTGCTCCAGTCCCTCGGCTCTGCTGATTCTCCGTTGCTCAGTTCTCTGTTATGCTGCAGGACTGGGGGGGGGGGGGGGGCAATCAAGGTTCCCTGAGGGGCTGGGAACCTGGGAACTCTTGCTGAGCTCTTGTGGTGCCTATCATCGATTTATTGCCTTTGTGGATTATTACTAATCATGGACTTTGTGGACTTTTTCCTACCTTCTGAGGATTTTTGCTTTAATGGACACTTGCCTCTAAAGGAGTATGGACTTTGCTGTTAATCAGGTATGATTACCCTATGAGCACTAGAGCACCTTTGTACAGGGATACATGTGAGAAATTGATTTACAAGAACTGTTCCTGTATGTTACCTTTCATCTGTAAAGTTAACGTTAACTGTTAAATGCCTGGTCTAAAGTTTCTTCCTAAGTGGTGGACTGCGTGGCATATCTAAAGAAAAAGGCTTGTTACAAGGGGACTGTAGATTAAAGGAGATACAATGCATTTTAGTCCAGCATAGTTTGCTGTCTAGTGTAGGCTATATTGCTGTTGCTAGGGACAACTGTACATGCATCATTGCCTAATGCAGCCAAGCAGCCAGAGAATGGGTGACTGGCAAAGCGCCAGAGGGAGAGGTGGAAATAAACAAAGGCAGACATATTTGAAGCCCAGCCTGGGTGGCAACCATGGCTCCCTCTATAGATACAGTAGGGGAGTGGCCACCCAGGGACAGGAAGTATGTTAGTCACAAGATCATCAGGTAAAAATAAGTAAAAGAATAAAGCCAGCAAAATTGACAACTAATGCAGACACCACATCTAAGGACTGGTAAGCTGCAATATAACTCGTATTACATTATTGCTTTTGGGCTTACATACACTTCAGTTTCAGGAGAATTGGGGCAAAAGCAGGTGATGAGTCTGCAGGACTGCTTCCTGGTGTGGGTCAGCTTCTCCCCCTCCCTGAGGAACCTGGTGGTGGCCATGTGCAGCACAATTGACTCAGTACCTTGTCTACTTGGATACTTGGAGGCAAGTCTGATCTTACTTCCAGTTCTTTTGCACAGCGGTTAGATTCCTGGTCATTCCTCTGTAACCGGAAGTGACATGACGGCATTCTGTCTGACAGTTCCGGAGGTGATGAGAGCATCATGCAGTATCTGCGTGACACTAGGATTGATCATTTGGGCTTGTTGATGTTTTTAATGTTGTAAGTGCATTACTTGGACCAAATAAAGTCATTTATCTTGGGTACTATACTATTGGAATGGAAATTTTTCTTCTCTTTCCATGATATGGTGGAGTGGAGTTTTTCAATTATCCTGGCAACCAATCTTAGAAAGGTGATTCTTGGAGGAACCTCCTGGTCTAATTAATGGATATCCTCTTGATTATGCTTTAAAAAAGGCAATTTCTGGTGAGTGCACACCTGAGTGGGGGTGCATGATGGGCTCAGTACAGAGTTTCAACACGTTCATGTTTTTTTTTTACGTCACATGAATTCATTTCAACACTGGACTTTAATTTCTATCACGGGACTTTTTTTTTGAGTTTTTTTATATATATATTTTTAAGTCACGGGAAATGTGGACTGTCACAATTTTGTGTCATATTCACTAAGTTGTTTTATAATTATAATTTTATTTAATTATAATTTTATTCATTTATGTATTTTTTGTTACAGCAATAATGGTGAAGACAAAGAATGACACAATATATGAATGATAATTGATGTTTAATGATAGCATTATGAAATGTATGCACCGCTTATATTCTCTGGATTAGGGGTGATACCAATATTTTTTAAAAGCAGTTTACCAGCCACTAAAAATATGATTTTTGGTCCATCTCACCAAAATCTTCAATACGGTTTTTCGTTGGCTAAACATGATAGGCCTATATATATATAACTGATTTACAACATTGTCTCATTTTGTGATCTTGGAGTATGGCTACATACAAGCTGATAGATCTAAACCAATTACTTAATGTATTTTTGCTGCTGGATACACAAAGAGTTTGCTCCTGCAGAGATCTCGAGTTTTGCAAGGTTCCTAATGGCTCTTGCCAGGAGGTGCAGAGGGCCGAGGGTGTGCTAGGTTGGGGGTCCAACTCTCATTTATTACTACAGAAAGCTGATTAAAAGCATGAAAGAAACAATGCCCATAAGCAGTAACAGGACCTCTAGCACT